AAAAAAAAAAAAAAAAAAATACAGCCTGAAAGTAGAAAGTGGACCTAAATACCCAGAAGCTCCCCAATCAGTTAGATTTGTAACAAGAATTAATATGAATGGAATAAATAATTCCAGTGGGATGGTGGATGACCGCAGCATACCAGTATTAGCAAAATGACAAAATTCATATAGCATTAAAGTTCTACTTCAAGAGCTAAGATGTCTAATGATGTCCAAAGAAAATATGAAGCTTCCACAGCCACTGGAAGGACATACAACAATTAATTTTAGTGGATCTCAAACTTGTCTTATATCAACCACCTTCTACTTGTGTTAATGTCTTGATTAAATATCACAATGCAAAATACCCACATGTTAAACAAAAGAATTCCAGCTGGTAAACATGACCTGGATATTTGTAAGAATATATTTAATATATGTACACCCATTATGTTTTCAGGTAACAGTAGGAAAAATGCAACTCAATTTTTTTCTCTCGTTAAGGTACTGTCATTTAAACATAAACTTGTGGAGTACTCGAAATAGAATTCAGGTTTACAAGATGAAAGCGTGGTAAGAAGTGTCAGATGGCAGTGGAAGCATGTGTGTTTCTAAAGACTAAAAATCTCAATAAAGAAAGCAGGGCTGGGCACAGTGGCTCATGTCTATAATCCCAGCACTCTGGGAGGCTCAGGCGAGCAGATCACTTGAGGCCAGGAGTTCAAGACCAGACTGGCCAACATGGTGAAAGTCTGTCCATACAAAAAATACAAAAATTAACCAGGCGTGGTAGCACGCACCTGTAGTCCCAGCTACTCAGGAGACTGAGGCAGGAGAATTGCTTGATCCCGGGAGGCAGAAGTTGCAGTAAGCTGAGATCGTACCACTGCACTGTAGCCTGTGTGACAGAGTAAGACCCCCATCTCAAACTAAAAACAAAAGAAAAAAGAAAACAGAGCCTGGGCGAGGTGGCTCACACCTGTAATGCCAGCACTTTGGGAGGCCAAGGTGGGACGGATCACCTGAGGTTGGGAGTTCAAGCCCAGCCTAACCAACATGGAAAAATCCTGTCTCTACTAAAAATACAAAATTAGTAGGGCGTGGTGGCCCATGCCTGTGATTCCAGCTACTTGGGACGCTGAGGCAGGAGAACTGCTTGAACCCCGGAGGTGGAGGTGGTAGTGAGCCGAGATTGTGCCACTGCACTGCAGCCTGGGCAACAAGAGCAAAAATTCGTCTCGAGAAAAAAGAAAACTGAAATGGCACGCTTTAACCATCTGACTTAGTGAAAGAGAGCTGCAGTTGAAATTGTTTAAAAAGTAGCAGGTATTTGCCAGGCATGGTGGCTCACGCCTGTAATCCCAGCATTTTGGGAGGCCAAGGACGGTGGATCACTTGAGGTGAGGAGTTAGAGACCAGCCTGGCCAACATGGCGAAACCATGTCTCTACTAAAAACACAAAAATTAGCCGGGTGGGTACCTGTAATCCCAGCTACTCAGGAGGCTGAGGCAGGAGAATCACTTGAACCTGGGAGGCGGAGGTTGTGGTGAGCCAAGATCGCAC